GATACGCCCCTGGTAAGTGCATCGCACTCAATAGTATAAACTGATGAAGTCACAAACGGTTTTGTTCGTGCTTCTTTGTGAACACTCTGCAGAACTGATAACGTCGGCTACAGTGCAGCTTGGTTCCGAAGGAAGTCACCTAATATGTTCTCCTGTAGAAGAATTATGATATTTCGCTTAAGCTTTAACTCCAAAATGCGTATCAAGTGACGATCATGTTTTTTTAAATGTCAGCAGTGACCTAACATAGCCACAAACAACATACGATGACGTCATCTTCCGGTTAATACTTCACTTGTGGTATTACTTTGCTTCCGAGCCATATTTTTTTGTAATAACTTTATAGCAGGTCAAATGGCATTTAAGAGTGCTACAGGCTCCTGCTTTTGTCAAACGGAAGTTTACAAGCCGAACCGGTGAAGCGGGACGGCCAGGCCCCCTGACAGTTGACCCCATATTAATCCGACATCACATGTAAAAATATCCTAAAACTATTAATTTTGCCATTGTTGAATATCTGTAGATTCCATCCAGCAAAACATAATATGTCAACAATGACATATTTTAATTAATCAGACGCACTGTATTGGACCAAAACAAATTTTAGGTAGGGACTGCTGATTGGCTGATTTTGCTGTGTAAAATGAGACTAAGGTTTTTATTCTCCCGCGTTCTCTAAAAGCCTATGACGAGGGAATTATAATGGAGGGTGCATCCCTGTATCATTCGACACTTGCGTTGAGGCCGGGAATCCTCAGCTTAGGAAAGTAAACTGACATATAGACAGCTGCGCACAACTCTACGGAAAGGACAGCCTCGCCATGTCTCGTTGTCCCGTGAGATTTCGTGTCAGTTTGTCGGTTAACAGTGTTATGGAGAAAGACTTGTAAGTGAACCCATAAACACTTGTATCTCATACAACCGGGCAGTGACGTTTGATACCTTTCATTTTACGTTTATGTGAAGTCCCATAATTTCGAAATAAAATGTATCTCTAATCATTTGGTAATATTTGTTTCTTATATGAAACGTACTTTGTCCAACCATTCACATGGAACAATGAATGACTACACAGAATCGCTATAATCGTCTTGATCCTTTTTAAAGCAGTTAGCTGTATAGGCAAACTGGTTTTCAGGATGGGTTTATTTTATCAACGTTTCCCTTGACGATATGTTTTTGATATATTGTGTTTGTTTAACGGCAGCCAAACTTTTCCCTCTCTGAAATATGGCAAATTTGAGATTGTATAAAACGATAGTTCAACTTAATGGAAATTCCTCGTCATTCATAGCAAAAATAAATTAGTTTAAGTCGCTCGACTCGTACTCTAAAACACAGATTCGTCTTGCTTTTTCAAACTTTCATTAAGATTTGTTGATGTACATATAGCCGACATGATATTTGAAGATTTGAACGGCGATTGACGGGTCGAGTATCAAACAAAAACAAACAAAAAAGCTCTTCAAATTTCAAATTAAAACCTTTAGAGAATAAGAACGCCTGTTAACAAGCAATGCAGTATTATTGGTCAAGGACGAGTGATGTGAAATTTCAATCTACAAAAATGGTGTTATAATATTCTGGTTTTGAGACTGTATGGTCAAGGTCAAAGCAATTACAACAAACAGATGCACCGTCAATATTATTGCCAAAGGCGTTTTTGGACCAATGGTTATAGCTACCTCTTCTCCATGACTGGACACATCAACTTCTATGTAACATGTGTAATACTCTACATTTACAGCCCCGGTACATGTAATATGGAGATATTAATGTTCGTTTCGTGAAGGGAATTATTTATCCCAAGATTTGCTGCAGGACACAAAACCTGATTATATCCCTGCTACCAGGCAAATATATTATTTACAGTAACAAAATATATATACATAACGTGCAAAAGGAAAATATATATCACGCATAAGGTAACTAAATTGAAAGTTAATACCCTTCGTGACACTTCTTAAAATTTCTGAAAATGCACGCACCAAATGCTGCCGTTGTCTCTCCTCTGTGCGTGACGTCAATGGCAAATCACGAACTATTCTGAAAGGGATACCTTAAATAACCAGCCACTTTTAACTAAGTGTATTCGCAAGAACTCTCATTGTTAAGCAATAATGGCGGAGGAATTTGCGAAAAAAATACCGATATGTTTATCATAGAAACGGTATGGGGTTTTTCGATGAAGCATAGGTCATGCATGCACTAGAAGCTTGTTGCGTAGATACAGGGGTTAGAGAAACAAAAATGTACATCTTGTCAAAACTGCCAAGCATTTCTATAAACAAATCAGAAATGCCATTTTTGTAGGGAGAAAAATATATCATAAGTTGCAGCAAATTTAAAGACTTCTACAGCTTATCACCTGCTATTTCATACTGACATTTGAGGGGTACTCCTTTACTGGGTGTTGATCTAAATCACTGAAATGATTAAAATTAAGAATACTCCCTCCACATCCATACACATATAATAAATATAATAATATATCATATTTATTTATTTATTTATTCATTCATTCATTCAAACGACCCATCGGCTATTTAATTAATTTTGGACACAAAATTTTAAAAGACTTAATTTAAAGGCAACCAGTAAAAAATGTCTAAACAATTTGAGAAAACAGGGCTATATTACATGGTTGTGTAAGCCTTATGATAAACTGTATCATTAAAATGAGAAATCATTTGGGATCACACAACAATGGTAAATGGAAATTGCAACACAAAACATTAATCCGGCTTTGTACTTCGGATTAACTCCCATCATTAACCCCATGATTTCGTTTGGTTTTGGTTTTGTTTGGTCTTCATGTCCCATTAACAGCTTCGACCTTTTAATGACGTACCATGTTTGGTGGTGGAGGATAGCCGGTACAGTGATAGTGCTGTTCTGTCCGAGTGTTCCATCTGTGGCTTTACAAAGCAGGCGGCCTAAACTAACATTGTTTTGCTGTCAGGGATTGTCCCAAATTTCACAGATATGTTCACGTGTTAAAGGAAAAGACAAACCTATCTTTATTTACCTAAATGAAGACTGTTCACAAGCGATCTTATTCTGAAAACGTCAGCATCGCGTCATCACGTTATGCAATTCAACCAGTGGTGTCATAATTTTTCTCCCCCCCCCCCCCAACCAGATAATAGCGCCGCGCGTGCATTGTGTTTGCCTTTACATTTTTACTGTAGAAAAGTATTGTAGAAAAATAATCAAAATATCTTGTGTGATGTATACAGACGGAGATATGATTTTTGAAGTTTCATCACATGGATAATTCATTCATTCTTTATTAGCCAAAAGCCCTTAGGCTTATAAATACATACATATATACATATACATGGAAATATCTTGAAAAACTTCAAAATTCTTAATCTCGCGCTGAACCTTCTAATCTCAACCCACGTGAAAGGTGCTGAACTAAACATTCTACCTGTATGTCTACACCACATAGAAAGAAAATATTATATCAATCAACATCTTTATTGACATGCAATGTAGGCGGCTTACATTAAAATTAACGCACTACCAAACTGTCATTCATTGTATCTTTACATTCGATCTTAACAGGAAAGGCAAATAAAAGTAATATTGCATGAATACCAGGCTGTATTATGCATGGTTTGATATACAAAATGAATTGCACGACGGTGAAATATTTATCTGAATTGATTGTAAAGCCTATATCTCATCGCCAAATCGGACATTAGTTTGCCTCAAGCATCATTCATTATAAACTAGATATTGCCTTAGTTGTTTTCTCTAGTAAAAAATATAGATATGGTCTGTTTTGACAATTAACGGCCCTGTCTATTTCTGCGGTGTGGTCTCGTCAAAAGTGTATATCCATGTCAATATCACAGACCATAAATCAAAGCTAAGTTAACAGAATACATAAACATGATATTACCTTAATCAAATTTTGTCGGTTTCAATTTATATTCGTTTGTAAATTAATAAACTTCCTATCAAATATTTTTGGCATCCGTGCGTGGCTGTGAATGTCGTGTGTTTCAGCAGCGTGTTTCGTCATCTTTGACATGTTTATGTAGTCTGCACGTAGCAGAAGCAGAATTTTCCCCTTAAGGTTCAAATGAAACAATTGCTCTGCAATAACGTTTCGTTAAATCTTAGCCGTAATCTCTGCAGGTTCAGAGGAAACGAATTAACCTGCGGCATTACTCTGTGTGATTGTTAACCAATTTGCGTCCCTGAATTTGGGGAGAATGTCTTGTCTCGATCGGATTACCAATTGCAGTACTCTGCGGCATATACAGGTTTTGTTTCTACTGTCCCTATTGCAATATTTGGGCTATTTCCAAACAGACTTTTTGTTTCCCAGAGAAACTTTAGCTATAGTGCTGAACGTTCTCCCAAGCAGGGTAGGCAGAGGGCTCTGTCTCCGAGCCGGGACATATTGAAGACTTTAACAGCAATGCTGTTATCATATGCGTGTTGCGTTCGGCATGGTATTTTGCGTTTACGCTTTAAAGTCGGTATAACATTTGTGCTATCGCAATGACGCTAGCACCATCAAGTTACCGCCCAAGCTGACATGGACACTTACATGCATGCATCACACACATACAGGAACGTCATTAAATTACCTTAAATGTTGATTAGACGCTTAACCCTATAAAATATACCAAATCAAACCAACCTGTAGTCTCCCCCTAATGACTGCCAGGCTTGTATAATCACGCAGTGGTATATTGCCTGTATCAAAACATTAAAAAACAAACCGGATTCTGAACATTTAATCAATTTTGCCTAGTTTGTATATACTGACTGCGTACACGTACTGTGTAATACATTCTTTCTTTCCTCCAAAGCGAAACTTTCACAAATTATGCTGTAATATAATTAGGCGTGTTTATTGAATATGAGAAAAAAACATTCTCTACTCTTTAATGTTATGACATGCGTGGAGGCTCGTTAGTGCGTGTCCAAATGATATATATATGTCTACATACATGTAACCTACCAATCGGTGTGTCAAGCATATCCTTGTCACAGCCCTTTACCACGGCCGTGTCGGATACTAGAACGACTATTATAATTTACTGCAGGGAAATTCCGGATGAATACATGTGGCCTCGGAATATCTCAACTATAGTGTTGTTTATATACACTAATATCCCGGATACAGAGTCTACAACCCACCTTACTCTAGCCGCGCTATCGTCAGACCGACCAGCCTCAAGGTATGTCTTTATATTATTAGATTTTATTATTAACTAATACACCTGGGCAGACTCTATTTATTAAAGTATGTAGATTATATTTTTAATTTCTGTAAACTGGTACTTTTCCATAGCGTAGCACAGAATATATTTGAAATACTCTGAATTATATTCACATTCCGTCTACATGCTCATATTAACTTTTCTCTAAGATATTACATTAGGAAAAATACCCGGTACAGAGTTTTTTGATTTTTTTTATGATTGGACGTGCATTTGGCAAAAATGCATTTTCTGCGTTAATTGGAAGAATAAAAAATATGACTTCACAGGAAGAAGAGTAAACTGTGTTACATCCTAGCATGGTGGACACGTTCTCTGGTAGGTTATACACCACCAAGTAAATAGAACTGCGTAATAGTGTTTTAGTGTAAATGCTACACATCTTAGCTTAATCAATGTTTTATTAAGCGAAATTAAAATATGCTTGGAAATTGTATAGATAACCCACAAATGAAAGGTTTAATTTTTCGGCATCCATGCAAACATATATGCAATTAAGTGCTCTAGATTCTATCAGCAAATCAAAATTTGAAAAACTGACATAATAGCGTCTCGTAGCCTCGAGGATAGCTCCTTGCTGTGCTGTAATGATATATGCACATCGATACGATTCAATGTTCCTAGAAATATTGTGCACCTACTTCATTAAAAATGTACACGGATATTAAACAGACGTAATACAAATGCAGACACTTGTAAAAACAACGATTCATTGAGCTACCGTAACGTAATTAAGATATGACAAGAGTGCAGTAGCGTGGTAGGGGCATCAACGGTCAGGTTCATGTACTTAAGTGCCTCACTTAAAAAGGTATAGATGTACGATTTAACACTTCAGTGTGCCACACTGTGAATAACAAATGCATAACAAACATTAATTGAGTATACGTTGTCTTTTAAAGGAAGTTTTATGAATTTCAAGAAATATTGGTTTGTTTGTTTGTGCTTTGATTCGTATTACAAGTTATTGCCAATTAAGAACGAGTCGGGCTTTGGATGGGAAGTAAAACCGGCGTATCCAGGAAAACCCTACTGACCTGCGGCCAGTACCTGGTAGTTCTCCAATGAAGACCTCGAACCCGTGGCCCTGCTTAGATTGTCAGCCGCTTTAACTACTCGGCCACCACGGCCCCAAATCTGCCGAGTGCGACTTTTATCAACAGTATTCATGTCATTGTATACATTTCAATTAGTTCTGATATATATTCCATTATTTAAACAATATCATAGACGTAAATAAAAGTAAGCTAGGTGATGTAATCCTATGATAAATTGCCTTAAATGTGGTTCCGTGACAAAGCTTGATAATATCTTCCCTTGATCATGTGCCAGTTTAACAGATAGGCTGAGATTTATAGATATATAGTTAATGGTATTCGTATTTTAGAACGTGCTACGGTAACTAGTTTCAAACGAAATGGACGAATGATTTTATATGACGGATTATTTATGTAAATTCTAATAGCTGGTTTACATGCCTAATGGTTTTATTTATATTGCTTACCTCAATTTTATAGCTAATGACTTTCTTTGCTCATGATGGTCTAACAGGTATGTATGAACACCGTAGGTATTACAATTCTCGCTATCGACATCTTCAAAGGGGTATCCATAGACCGTTTTTCTCTAGCTGTGATGTTGAAAGGAAAAGACGCCACTTTCCTGTAGCATGTATCGCTCTTAACTTACTTCACTGAGTTTACATATTCATGTTAGTATTCCAGTGTATTAACTGGTTGTGGGTTAGGCGTGTGATATGATGCAGTTCAACGCAGTTTTGGCAAGTTGTATGTATAACCAAATTTTAAATGTTCAACCACCTATGTGTGTTACGTTAATCTTTCAAGATGCGCGGTGATAGAGACTGCTGGTGGATTTTTCAGTCCCCGAAGCTTGCTATAACTTTGATGTCCATCGTTTTCTCTTTTAAGTAGCGGCATGGTTCATAATATACACACTTTACATATTAATGTAATTAATCTGTACTCCTTAGTGAAGGGGTTCAATGCACCTGCCCCTCTGTTTCTCCAAAGTTTTGGTTCCTAGCATAACCAATGAGTCCTACGAGGACGAAACCGCTGTATGATGCCGTGTAATTCAGTTTTGGTATATTGCATAATACACGTGTATATTACCAAATTTTAAAGGTACAGTCACCCGATGGTTGTGTTACGCTCATCTTACATTAGTATGTATGATGACAGATCATATATTTTATCTGTCTTTTGCCAAAAAGAATATATAGAATTGTAGTACTATCAAGGAAAACGAATTCTTAACAAAATATCATATATAGTAAATGGAATCGAAATTTTGGTTTCAAGGTCTAAAACCATTTTCCCGAAAAGTCTGCTATTGGACCAGTGTTTTCTATGCACATACGCGACGTTGTGTTGATAGTTGTATCTCTTAGTCACCACACGTATAGTGATTGATTAATTTATTAAATTATCCACCAATCCCCCATTCCCTCTTTGTGAAGCATTAGCTGACTGTTGAGAAATCGTACCCCCGTTTGTAGAAATTGTTCGCTCACTGTCCGTTATAATCGTTGTAGTTGCAAAGGATAACAAAACCACATCTGAATGTTGGAACAATTATCAAATGGCGTCATGAGTGTACATTGACTAACATCTTTAAAAGGGTTTGTAATTAATTCATTATGCCGGAACAATCACAGAGTGAATCTCAAGATTTATTTGTTATAAACAACATGTTGAGACTTGATTCATCCAAAAGTACCTTGAATTATAGGGTATTGCTTTGATTGTTTGACTGTTATGTGAAAAGATTTGAAGTGACATGACATCAGCTCACATCGTAGAGATGACACTTAATATAAATTGCTGTGGGTAAACTTTGAAAAATTGTAAACATTTTGCATTTCTGTTACCAGGAAGTGTCTTCAAACAAATATTTTAATATCGGACTTATGATTAGTGTGATTAAGGATATCAATATCTTAATTGATCCCGATGGTTCCACCTGGAACTCTCAGACAGGTGCAATAAGGATGAAAGCATTGATTGTCTGTGCGGTATCGCGTTTTTTTTTTTACATCTTGATATATTGATGTAGATAATAATGACCACTTAATAAGCAATTAGACATTGTCCTTTTCAAAATGTGAATTTGTTCACGGGAAGAACGATTAATATTTTGTTTAGCAAACAAAATGGCATATGCTAATTACACATTGTTGCTTTGAAACTTGTATTTGGTCAGAATAAGAATTATTTATATTACTTTGGTTAGCAAACAAATTAACATATACCAATTAGACATTATGGTTTGGAAATATCATTTTTGTTAGAATGAAGAATGATTAATGTGTGTTTAGACATTGTTACTTTGAAATCTTATATTTGGTCAGTAGGGACAATTATTAATGTTCTTTGTTTAGCAAACAAGCTGACAAATGCATATTAGACATTACTGTTTTGAAATATTATGTTTGGTCAGAAGGAAGATTAATGGACATTACGTTTATTCAGCAACCCACTTGGCATTTACTAAGACGACATAATTGCCTTGAAAACTGATATTTGGTCAGAAGGAAGAATAAGACATATCAGTTCGTTTAGAAATGAAACTGACATATGCCCTATAATACATTGTTGTTTTGAAATATGATATGTAGACAGTAGGAAGCTTGATGGATATATATATACATATCCTTACATATACCAAGATATCATTGTTGCCTTGAAACGTGTATTTGATCATAGGGATATTTTATTAAAATCATGTGTTTAGAAAACAAACTGACATATGCAAAGTAGATGTTATTGCTTTGAAAGCTTATATTTGGTCAGAAAGAAAAATGATAAATATAAGTTTGTGTGGTTAGAAAGAAGGTTGATGAACATTACCTTTGTTCAGGAAACCAACTGACATACACCAAAACGCCAATGTTGCATTGAAAACGTCTATTTGGTCAGAAAGAAGAATGATTCGTATAACGGGTTTTTTGGCAACAAACTGACATATGTAAATCACACATTGTGGTTTTGAGTCAGAAGGCAGAATGATTTATGTTGTTTGTTTAGCAAACAAATTGACATACAAACTGACGTACAAACTGTACGAAGTAGATACAGTAGCTTTGTAAACTCTTATTTGGTCAGAATGTAGAATCTTACCTTTATTCAGCACACAAACTGACATATGCCAAGACGACGTTGTTGCTTTTAATACGTGAATTTGGTCACAAGAAAGAAAAATTAATATTCTTTTTTTGATTAGCAAACACACTGACAAAACAATCTGACAAATGCCAAGAGGCGTTATTGTTTTAAAAACTAATATTGAGTCAAAAGGCAGAATGATAAATATTAGTTTGTTAAGCAAACAAATTGACATACAAACTGTACGAGGTAGATACAGTAGCTTTGAAAACTTATATTTTGTCAAACGGAAGTTTAATGAATAATAAGTAGGCATTTATGCTTTGTAAACTCTCATTTGGTCAGAAAGTAGAATGATGATTATTATCATTATTGTTGTTTAGCAAATAATTTGACATATGCCGCACTGTATATCGGTTCGGTTATGTTTTATAATTGTAAAAGATTTTATTGATCAAACTGTTACAGAGTACAGTTTTAGATTTGAAGATTCATCTATTTGCACCGAGAACCATCAATTATGGATCTGATCGTGCACTTATAAATACTTATGCTAGAGTGATTAAGGTAGATTATGGATCGTCTGATAGACTTGGATATATAGGAGTCAATAGGTCGTGATGTTCGATAGTCAGTCTTTTCCTCATAATAACAACTATTATTGACGGAATTTGCAATTAAGAAAATCGGTAATCTGTAGACGATATCGTCTATATGGTAATGATTTTGTTACCCAGGCGGCGTTAATAGAAATCAGCGAGGTTGTCATAACGGAAGTCTTAAGAGAGTGTAGTAATGATATATTTCATCCACCTCTTCGTGTGCAAGATA